CCTTGTGATGTAATGGTACTGGTGCAAATGCGATTGAGTGGTAACCTCGTCACGCTATCCACGATCCAGCATCGAATCCTGTTTTTGCTGCTGATGAAAACAATGCAAGTTCGTAACTACAGCCCAGCAGGGAGAATACAGCTTTTTGGGAGTAAAGGCTAGGTGAAATGTAATGACATCGTCAGGCTTACCCATTACATTTTGGGACAACTTAACTGTCAATTCGTAAAAAAGTGGGTTTACCTCATTTTCTCAACATGGTCTTGCCAACTACGAGGCCGGCGAAATGTGTGAGAATGTACCAAGTCCACGCTCGGATACTGGGAATTATGATTAATACTGTGGAAGAATACTTCGGACAAACCGCGTTCAACGAACTCGCTCTGACAACAAGACTAAGTTACGAAAACGAGGTCAACCTACTTCTATAAATCAAAAGGAGACTGCGACCATACCGAAAGACACGCCATCTTGGTCTTCATATATTTAGAATCAATTTTCAAGTCACCTTAAGCGACCTAGGCAGACTTAGCTCTTATTCAAGAATTACTAATAGTCTCTAAGGATAATTATCTTAAAATCCCTATTATTTTGTTGGCCATTATTGAAAAAATTAATCAGTTTAAGCCTAAAAATCGGACAATACAAACAGATGTCTTGCCTTGGCTGGACATTCGCCTCTTCCACCGGCATAGAAGTGGCTCGCCGAAGAGGCATCTGAGGGTAGAGAATCTGCGAGGCCGATGGTCCCAGCTCCTCAGCCCGATCCCATTTGGGTTCTCGTGGCGCATCGAATCGTGGTCTTGACTCCTCAGCGTTCATCAGATCAACCAGTTCACGGACCGGTATTCTTTTCGTCGGACCTGGTGGCGGAGGTGCCGGGGTCTGTGAAGGGCGCGATTGATGACGAGGCGCTTTGGTCGGCTCGAGCAACTCGTCCCATGGAACGGGAGGAGACAACGAACTGGTCTGCGTCGCAGTCGTCGCCGGCAGGACACGGCGACGTCTTCGCGTAAGTGGCCTGCCTCGACCCTCGCCTTCTTCGCCCACCTCCTGTACTCGCTCGGCTAAACTGGGTCGCAATCGGATCTCGGCGGTGGTCGACGCCTCGCCGGCCACGTTGCGCAACAGGCAGGTGTAGGTGCCGAGGCTATCAGACGCCACCTGAACAAGGGAAAACGAGAATATATCGAAAAGTAGAAGACCAGATTTTAGCGCGACGCGACGCTGCATTTGGTGGGAAAAATTGACGGTAAGAGATTCGTGAATTGGCTTCATTGGAAAGAGAATGATTCTACGACTCTGATGAATCTCTGCAGAGGTTACGTCAAGGGAGAACTCACACAAAAAAACAAAACCAGAGAATAATATTTGCTACAAATTAGAGCTGGCTTCAACAAATCTTTTCAAAGGAATTTACATTACCATCTCGGAAGCTGTGAAAATCAGTTGTACCCTCGCTGAATTCATCGAAAATTATTCTTTTATATGAGATGTATTCACCAAATTTCGTTTAAGGTGATGAAGGAATGATAGTAGAATTTTCCCACAATGATATGAGTAGAGCTGAATTTCACAGAACCTTGCTTTCACCAGAGTTGTCATCGCATCGGTCTTATTAACACCCTCAGCGGGGGTCGAACCGTGACAGTACATAATGGGAGCTTGACATGTTAACGACTTGGCCACATTGCCACGAGTGCCCTTGGGTCACAGGATAGATGTGAATTATAAAGAAAGCATATTTTGTAGTGGGATTGTCGATATAGCAAATTAATGGCACGACTCTTCATTTCGAAGAGAAAGTTGGTGGGAAGGAATTCGTGAAGTGGTCTCACCGTAAAGATGACTGATGAATTGTTCGAAAAAGCCCTCGGCTCACCGTCCTGCGACCCCGATGAAACTGTGCTCAGCCTTCGTCTGTACCACCGTGACAAACATCATCAGTGCAAGATTACATACTTTACGAAATAAAACAAAAATATACTTCCTACTTCGGTTTCCGGTAAGACCACCTTATGAATTCCTTCCAACCAACTTTCCCTTTAAATTGGAGAATCAAGTCACAATATTTCATAAATAAATTCTTCGAAATCCTGTTTTTCTTCATAGCAAAGGTAGGTTTGTTATGGCAATTTAGTACATTATTTATTTTTCATTTAATCAGGTTTCCAAGTCTACCAGTAGATCATATAGATGAAATGTATGCATCCTTTATGAAATTCACGTCTGCCCTATGATCCAGGAGCAATCATGAAAATGTGGCGTAGTGTTTAACCTCTCAAGATTATACCCTACATTATCCAATTTCAAGCCCCGATGGGGTCGCCAATGTAACATTAGCTAGATCTAGACTGCAGTTCATCCTGTATCAGAATAAAGTTTTAAGATACATTGTTATGTGAAATTCAAATGGACTGTAAGATCTACTCATACTATTGGAGGAAAATTATCAGCTTAACGAAACAGTGGAATAAAAGCTTTATTCACCCTAAGTCGTAAATAGGTGATGAAGGACTGATACTTAAATTTTCCCACAATATAAAGAGTACGTCTCATAATGCTAGTGAATTTAGAATATTCTTGCTTTCTACAAGATGCTTTCCCTCAGAGTGGTCTGCAGTTTTAACCTCGTCTAGGTCTCATTAAACACCTTCATCGGGATTCGAAAACCTACTAACTAGTTAAAATAAGTAATGTCGCCGATTTTAGCAGCATATATAAGCTTGCTTCATTGACAAGACAACTGCAAAAATGTGATGTGGGAAAGGTATGAAATTCACGTAAAAAGTTTCCACACGCTTTGGGGAAAATCAGACCTCTACAAAATTTTATTTATAGTAAGATTGTGTTTAAGGCAAACTCTCAGATACGATTACATTTAAAAGTGTCTCCTTTATTCGATATGAGTATATTTCGGGACTATCCTTAGGTCTTGAATGTGAATTGATATACTCAATATATATAAAAATATATATCAAATAAAAGTAACTTCGTCACATAAAAGTATGCGTCATCGACAATCCAACTATACATTGGGGTTGGACAAAGCTTGATTTGTTTTGAAAATCACATCTCTTGGAGTATCACCACATTACGCTTAAGACAGGTTTTCGAAATTCATTGCAAAGGCTGATGAGCCATTGAGACAAGGCCAAATATGCCCGAATATAAGGGTCACTTGAAGACAGAAATATGTGAGGATTTCTATTTAATCATTAATTGTTAATTCTCTACTAATCATTAGTTCACAATTATCTGCTCATCTATTATCTTCAACAATTAATTTTTATTAATTATTATCATTAATTAACTATTGGTTTTCAATATTTGTTATCTAGTTTATTTATTTTCAATTATTAGTTTTTCTAGAGCCCTATGCGAGCTAATGCTCTTAATATTTTTTTCAAGAACATAGAGTTTTAAACAACAGCAACAATTTAAAGACTTATTTATTATATGGCATCATTTTTTAGCGATAAGACTAATAAGCAACATAAAATTTTGACCCGAATGCAGGGCTTTTATCTGGTTTGCCAGCAATCGGAAAAGGTTGCCACTTAAATAAATTGAATTTATGAGTACCTTTTAATCAGTAAATACTTTATTCCATACCAAAGCCTATCAGATTGACACAAAGTTACAAAAGGCCTTTTAAAACGTCATTTTGCTTTTTTATATGCAAACTTATCAATGAGGCTGGTTTTCTCTCATTTGGAAATCAGATGATATTACTCCAGTAGAAGAGAATCACTCAGATATTATTTAAGTGAACGCATGTATTTTGTTGTATTTTCGTCATTAATAAAATTGGATGAGGGGAATTCTTACCCAGGCATTACGATAATCATTCGGCAAAAACTAAAAGCTAGATCAGAGAATCAAAGAAACCAAAATTTTCTATCGCTTTTTATACCATTTAAACAGTCACGCTTTCAAAGAATGAAATTACTGTAATGGGACAACCGAATCTAAAGTAATACTAAATCCTTTTAATCCTTTCTTCTTCTTGATTCTTTTATTGGACTTAAGACTTAGGTCGATCCTTTCCTTGATTGTTACTTCTCTCAAATTTTCTGGTCCCTTTAGATTGCAAGAATCTATCGGAATGTCATTGTTTGGTAAACCAAAGTCGAAACTGTACAACTGTAACATACTAAGTGTGGTTATTCTTTGATAAAACTTAACATAATTATTTTTTATAGACTCCTTTGGTATTTTTGCTTACCCGAGGCAAATACAACGTAGTATTATATGGCTCTAAGGCAATCTGATAGCGGCCGAGCTCATCTTCGATTGGCTGGCCGTTGAAGTACCAATCAGATGAAATGGGAAGGGTTCCCTGAAGAAGAGAAAAAAGACAGTAAAGGAAATGAGAGGATTCCACTATAATTCTATTGTACAGATGGGACCGAGACTCATTCCCTGAGATACAGATCAAAAGGATAAATTCAAATTGCATACTCAAAGAATAAATGGGTTTCGATGAGTCTCTTTAGATAATTTCGTTGTGGATACTTTGATTTCGTATGAAAATATCTAATGAAGAGATTCGTATGTCGGTCTCACCAGAAAACGACGGCCGATTCTCGTTGTACTGCAGCTATTAAGCTTTAACACAGTGCCCAGGTCGACACACTCCAGGAAAAATTCTTTCTCGTTTTGGGTAAAAACGA